GAAAGGGGTTGGAGCCATGTGGGGAACACGCTGTAGGAATTGACATGACCATAATATAATTAGAAACACTAGCAGCACCATTCCTTTCTTTCCTTTGCACAAACGCAGACACACAACATTGTGCACTGCAGTAACAGTTCAAAAATTCAAAGGGCAGACACTGAAAAGTATGAGTCAGTATTTTTGAATCTCTGGACTTAAAACTGCTATAAGGCTTCAAAAGTGCTCTCATCCAAATGGTGTCAACACTTATGTCTCCTTATTAAGTAAGATCTGAAATGGGGCTTTATTTTGGGTGCATCCAAACTGGTTACGTTACATTGAAGTCTTGTCTTACATTCACTGCTTGCTAAAGAGAAATTCTCCCTTATTTTGAAGGCCATAACTAATTAAACTCCTCACTGTGCTTTGTTGACAGCAAAACCATATAAAACCAAGCTGCCAGGCATTCTCTATGATCCTTCCAGTACCTCATGTAGTCATCCACAACATTTGCCTTCTAGGATTATGTTTTTCTGTGGTATACCTCATCAAATTTGCATTTTAAAGTTTTAACCAAAGCTTAATCAACAGATTTAAACTTGTATTTGGAAGGCACCCTGTTTATCGATTTGAGGTGCAGGGGATCATTAGTACCAGAATAATGTTCTAACTGGGCAGTCCCAAAGAGCAGTGGAAAAACGGATGAACAACAACATTAACTGGAGAACTGAAATATTTTAAAAACAGTCTTTCAACTTCAACTCGTACTAGAATTATGTATCAAGTAATAGCAGTTACAGTACAATCATGACTTTTTGATCAGTAGTTACCTAAATTACGTTACTCTAATTCTTAACTATAATGAAATTTCCCTCAATTATCCATTCCTCATTTACCATAGTCAGCTGGGCAAATGCTGCCTCACTGCACTTCTCCTTGCCTCAACTAATTCTTTCTTTTTGACCCTATCCTTACTATGTGCCTTCTCGTTCAGTCTTCATACCTATGGCTTCTTCAGTTTTGCCTCTGGTGGAGGTTTGTACAACCCTAAATTTATGCACTGGGCCTTGCTATTCACTCAGATACATGGATGTCTGAAGCACTTCCATAATCACTAACTAAATACAGACGTGTTCATTTATTTAAGATATAGCTTTTAAAGGCATTACCAAAAAGAAATGTATGAACTAATGAAGTTTGATAATCAGGTTCCTTAGGAATAAGTAATAAACTCCATAGGCTTCTCTCCTCCATGTTTTCTTTCCTATTATTTTCCCTCACTGTTTTCATCTGATATAGCCGGCTTTGGTAAGCAAGCTCTTGTTTTAATTTAGAGATATTGGAAATTTGTATTACTCAAGAATTAAATCTTATTTTCCAATTACTTTAAGTCAGTATCAGGGAAGATACGTGTACTACTAAAAATTAAAACAGTTATGTACTGATAAAAATTAAAACAGTTTCAAAGCATCTCTAACTTACACTGCATTGTTTCTGTCCCAAGAGGTGGCTCTAGTACTTAAGACTCAAACACTATGGAGCTATCAATTTTTTACTGGGAACGTCTTCTTGTTCAACTTCCCTTACAAATAAAGGTACTTTAGCTCAGAACTTGAAAAGGAATAAAAAGTTTTGGAGACTGTATCTGCACCTATATTAACATAAACAGCTTAAGAATACAATAATCCATGTTGCTGCTGTTTCCTCCAACAGGGACAGCTTTTCAGTGGCTCTTACTGCAACATGCATTGACTTCGGAGGTACCAGAGATCCTCTCTACCTGCTTAGTGTTACCTTAAAATGTGTATCAGTTTATCTCTGAAAGAAACCCCCACCCTTAAGTGGGGTCCTGAGAAATGAGGATTTGTAAAGGCATAGGTATTGTTCCATTGTAATCACCCACCTTTGTAAGAAACCTTTGAATCTTTGCCCAGAGCCATGCAGTGTGACAGCTGCCCAGACATTCAGACTCAACTCCATTTCAACTGGAAGTTTCCACACTTATTTGAGATATTGAAAAAATAAATTAAAAAAAAGACATAACCTTCTAAAACCAAAAGGGTGCTCAAAGGCAATCACAGAAATTACCCAGGTGCTACCTCACCAACAGACAAGACTACTGGAAGGGGAGACACTATCCAGCACATGGTTCCTCAGGCCATAGCATAACAGTACTGAAAAAGCACATTTATTTATTGCATCCACCTCTTCCATCAGTCAGAATATTTATTGACATAGATGGCAGACTCACATTATAGGACCGAACTGCATTAAAATTTTGCCCAGATTCAATTGGTAAGTAGCAATCTGTACCAACATAAGCCTCTGATTTAGAAAGGGTAAACCAAAATGAGGTTTGCCTTACCTGAGGTGTGTCAGAAATAAAACACTGAATCCTTCTTCTGGAACTTGTAGGCAGATAGGTAACATTGACAGGAGGCTATACCAACCTGAAAATCTGAACATTACTGTACATTTTTGGAATGGCACAATGGTATCTAACATCTGGAGGAGACACTTCTCCTCCCTTCCCCCAAAATAATAGTATTTGCTCTGTACCAGATAAAAATAATTATTGTCTACAAACTGTGGGAAGGTCTGCAAGGCCTGCTGACAGTGCAACCTGAATGTTAATGGAGACAGTCTGGAGAGAGTGGAAGGCTGTGTACTGTGGATTATTAGGACGATGGTTTGACCTGGAGATGCCGAAACATGAATGATTGAGGTTGGGAGGGATCTCTGGACATCATCTGGTTGAACTCTCCTGTTCAAGCAGGGTCACCTAGAGATGGCCTTTGAATATCTCCAAGGATGGAGACTCTACCACCTCTCCAGGCAATATATGCCAGTTCTTTGCTCATAGTGGAGAAGTGTTTCCTGGTGTTTCAATTTGTGCCCGCTGCCTCTTGTCCTGTCACAGGGCACTACTGAAGAAGAGCCTGGCTCCATCCTCTTCACACCTTCCCTGTAGGTATTTATACACATTGATGAGATCCCCCTGAGACTTCTCTAGGCTAAACAGTCTCAGCTCTAAACTGAGCTGGGGTATCAGTTTTAAGGTAAGGCCTTATCAGCCAACCACTGCAAGAAAACTGACAACTTGGATTTTTTTTGGAGCCATAGACCATTGTGGAAGAAGGGCTTTTTTGTTCTAGTCTAGGGACCTCAAAATACTGTGGTCAACTAGACAAAGAGTGTGCAGTTCTGAGCAGTCTGTACTGTGTTGCTGTAACATCCTGTTACGTACTTCTGGACACATCTCTCCCCAAGGGGTAAACATCTCTTTTGGACTAGCTGAAAGAGCCAGCATAAGAAACACTGAGGCTGAGGCCAGGACTTGTCCTTGGAGTAGGGGAGACAGACAGGGGCTTGTTTTCTTGCTTCAAGGGATTGATTTCCTGGGAAACTGTATAAAGGTCAGAAGCACATTATGCTCTATGTGACTGTGAAAAAGACTCTGGAGATTGATGTTACATAAATATTTACAACTACCATTACTAACCAAACCTGTTTCCAATCCCTGCTCCTCCCAAGGAAGAAAACAGGATAATAAGGAAAAATTGACTTGTGAAGAATAATAGCAGTGAAAGTCTAACTTAAAATCACTAAAGAAAACTGCACACTTATTGGAACAGGAAGCGACATTAAATAAAAAATAAATCAAGGAGCATCAGTAATTTTCCAATGCAGATTACAGAAGACTGCAAGTTAGCTGTGACAAGAATGATAACAGCACCGTGCTTTTGTTTTCTTTATTTTACCCTTGAGAAGATAACCTTTCGTATTTTGGTATAATAGACACATTGATTATGGGTTTTTTTGGGATGTTGCAAAACTCTACTTTCTTCTCATCCCTCAGGGAACAAATTCATCCATGTCATTTAACCACAACACAGCTTTATAAAGAACAGAAAAACCAGAGGAACAGCAGTTTGTTGGGATTCAGACACATTTGTATCTACTGTCCATATCAAAAGCTAGCCGAGGAACTGTCAAAAAAAGGATATTTGTAAGTGATGTCATGTGAATTCAGTGTCAGAGAACCCAGGCAGAGATGGCATTTGACTCACTTATTTCATATTTTTTAAGGTGATCAAGACCCCCAAGCAAGCAACTTGCACCCCTGGAGGTACACATGGCTTGCAAGCAGTTCAGATGCACCCACAAAGTGTACTGTACCAGAAAGTGCATGGCAGGGCTACGCTGGTGCTGAGCTGCAGGAGGAATCGAATCATAAAAGACTGCTGGAGCAGATAACAAGGCATCTTGAGATCCAGCCTGTGGATCTCAAGATCAGTCCGTGGCTGAACCCCGACATACGGTGGAAGCACCAAGATCGATGAAGAATTTACTGGGTTTTTTTCCTTTTATCAGGGCTACTCCTAAACTTTGTCTTCCTTTTACCTCTCAAAGTGTATATTAGCTGCCCAAAGGCATGCAACTCTGTTTGCACTTCAGTGGAAACAGGGTGCTCAAACTTCTAAGGCACTTTTGAAAACCCCATTTACAAACTAAAAATACATGGGAATGTGAATTAAATGAGATTAATAAACAGTCAAATTCAAAAGACGAAACTCATCTCAAGATAAGCCCTCTCATCAAAGAGCAGAGCTGACAGAAATCCCCAGAATCTCTGACAGTTCAAGTTGAAGTTGAAATAGATTTAGTATAGCCATTCATGTGCTTCAACAGCAGAATCTCCTACTATCTGTTGGACATCCAGAATTTACAGTACAGTTACATTTACTAAGTTTTGCGTGTGAAAAAAATTGCAAAAGATATGGATAAAAGGGTATCATGTGTTATGCTGTGGAATTGTGATTTACTGATGTTTAAAGCAATAAACTTTCGTCTTTGTGTAGGCCAGCCCATTATGACATAAGTAAAACCTACATTGTATATCCATCAGTGAAAATAAGCAAGATGAAACACAGAAGAAACAAAAAAGTTTATTATAAAGGCCGTTAATGTTCAAAATGTTCAAAAATTTGAAATGTATTTATTTTGCATCCGTATGATCCAAGATGTTCACTGCCTCCCTTCCTGATCTTTGCTGCCTATTCAAACAGTATTTGAGAGAATATTTACTACTATGCAATCAGCAAAAGGTTGACAGACTAAATTTCACCCAGCTGATTTCTTTCCAGCATTTTCTCCTGTAATCAGTTCCACCACATTATCAATATTCAGACTGGCCTATACGTGGAAACACTTTTTTCACAATATATCTTCCAGGTTTGTGTTCCTGAAGACTGTAAACTTTTCACTCACATTTCTGTGAATATAGCTATGGATATTTTTAATTCCTGAGTCGCATACTCCAATGGACTGAGTTTTCGGTCTTTATCATTCACATGGAATTTGGGTTCAATGCAAATCTGAAGGCTCACCCAAATGCTTCATTCTGGTTTGCTGCTATGGTCAAGTTTTCAAAGTTAATGTTCTAGGATGCAAGTAGCACAACAGGAATAAGAAAATCAGAAGACTAGATATGGGAATACAAATGGCAGCATGACTTAGACTCTGTTGTGCCTTTATCAATGACACAATGTATCAGATGATTTTTGAGAATTTAATGGAATTAAAAAACCCCAAAATGTTCTGTTTCATGACTGACACAAAGGCCAAATAAGAAGGTCTGGCATTCCACAGATCAGATAGTTGTGATTATATAGAAGATGTTAGATAGAAGTAGTACACTATTAATATATAACACGAGAAGTTCACCAAAACAGCATCTCTTGATCACAGTTGAAGATACTTCAATCTGTTTCTAGATTAAAGTAGTCCTTGTTAACACTGGCCACAGGATAATGTTGGAACCACTGCCACTTAAAATGCCTCAAGTCATCCTTTTCTGACTTCCAAGATGAGGCAAAATTATCTATCTAAATGAATTGCTGATGATATTTGGTCTACATAATACTTTACAAAGGATGAACCTACGTAAGTTCTGACCTAGTCTCTTTTTAATATTAGAGGACCTCTGATGTAGAAACTGCTTTAAAAAAACCTGAATTATCTGTTTCTACTGAACACCTCCACAAGCTCTGTCTCATTGCCATCCATGTACTAGTGATAAGAGAGCAAAAGCTTGTTGCCACCTTTCACAAGCACAAGTATATAGGTGATGGTGCACGTGACTGACAAATACCTTTAAATAGTGCTTTTCTTTAAGTCTTTTAGCAGCATGCTGTTTGTTTCCTTCATTAAATGGCACTTGGTTTTCTAGCTGCAGCATTTGCAAAATGCCACACACTGGCAGACACAGACACAGCGACCAGAGGCTGCAAGAACTTTGCATGCAAGGAACAGGACAACAGATGATGTTGTAAATGGATGTCAAAGGTTACTTCATATCTTGAGGTGGGAGGGCAGGTAATATCTCCATAAATCTACCTTTGGCTAGGAGTCCTGTTGGTAATTCTTGGTGGTGCTGGAAATGAAACATTCTATTGCCATTGCACAATGCAGAACAGAAGCATTTCAAGGCCGATAGGCAAGCTTTCATCCCATGTGAAGGTCAGGACAGCTCCACTCCCTCATTTCTAAATGGTGCATCTCTCTAGTGCACTGAAACCTACAGGACACCAAGGGTATATTTCTTCCCTAAAGAGCTTCTGCAGGAGCTGTGTAGGTATGAGATTCACTCGGTCCTTTTGTTTTTCTGTCTTTGTCATTGCAGATGTCCACACTGTGAAGCCCTGTTGTACTATTTTTATTACCATCCATTAAGTCTTCTGCTGTCTCGGTGCTCTTCTTGTTGCATTGACAGAAGTCACTGGAGCTCTCTAGAAGGTTGATGCAAAATTTGATAACCAGCGCTAGCCAGGCCATCCCAAAGAGGATCCACAGAGAGATTACATTCTTGTACCACCTTGGATAGGTGCGATCTGGGTTCATCCCTAGAACAGAATCACCCAAAACATTTCTAGATTGGATCAAGAGTGCCTCAGAGACAAGAAATGTAAAATCAAAGACAGTTGAAACACCAATTAATATTAGTGATTTCTATATAAAACATGAGTATGCCACCTATTTAGCACATGAACAGAAGCAAGTATGTTTCATGACACGTCACCAGCAGACTAGTACTCCCTAAGAATCACAAAATTTACCCATAAGAAAGAAAAAAATCCCAAATTACATCTGTGTCCTGAGCAGTCCTAAAACCTCCAAGAGAAACCAAGCCTTGGAAGACAGTCTGAAGTTATGCTACCTTTGTCTAGTTACTCAGCAAGGTACTCTGTGATCCCTCTGGAGCAAAGCCATATTTCCGATTGTGTTTCCATAGTGTTTCGTGCAAAGAGACTTCTATGGGATAAGTTAGTCTCAGTAGTAATATTAATACAGCCCTATGAAGTGACTGGGCTGTATCTGTAAAGCAATCTGGGGTACCCTTACAAACAGGGGATACAAATCACTGGCAGTGAAATTGTTGCATGGCTTTTTTCCTCCACTGCTTCTCAGCTGTCACTATATAGTTTCCTTACCTTAGGAAGGTTTGTCACTTTATAACTGGATACCTACAGTGCAGCAGATACTACAGAAAACCCAACAATTTTGGGACAGAATGTGAGGAGTTAACAGATACGAGGTGGTACCTCCACAAACCTGGAGGCCACACTCCATACCACATTCCAGTGAAAAGCACTCATAGGGCTGGGTTAAAATGGGACATTCATCAAAACACCCCTCAGGTGTTTTAGGTTATCTGTGATAGGTGGTATGCAAGAATACTGAGCTAGCAGTTCCCAAATCATGGTCTATGAACTGTTACTGTCTACAAGATGGTGATAAGTAGAAATGTTCAGTAGAATCATATTAAACAGCCAATTCTTTACACCCACTTACTTAGTATTATTATATATTATATAATATACATTGTACGTGTTCAACATAATGGGACCACAAGACATTAATTCAGCACTAAGCCCCTGTAAATGTTTGGGAGCTACCCTGAGATTAGCTTAGATTGGCTAGAGCATGGTGCTAATAACACCAAAATTGTGGGTTTGATCCCCGTTCACTTAAGAGCTGAACTCAATGATCCTTGTGGGTCCCTTCCAACTCAGAATATTCTATTCTATGACTCTAATAATTTCTGTGCTAGCTACTCTTTTGGTTGGCTTTCTACATCCAGGTGAACTTCAAACAGGAGGAGTATTATATGCATTATTCAAACAAGAACCTTTCACTAATGCTAAATTCAAAGGTTTAAAAATTGTTTGTTTCTAAGTAATAAATGAAAACATGAGCAAAGGGCTATTTGAGGCTTCCAAGGAGAATGCTTTTCCCTCAGAGACCATATGATAGGTGCAGACTAGGGGATGAGAAGATCTGAAGCAGTATATAGTAGTATATAGTATATAGTAGTATATCTGAAGCAGTATATAGAAGTATAGGACCTACATAGCACCCTGTGTCCAATAGAAGGGCTGAGTGTGTAAATTAGCAAATTTCAGGGCCAGTAAGAGAAGCTACACCAATATTAGCAAATAAAACTGGCTAGAGACCACTCTATGACTTCAAGTCCAAGTGCCATAGCCTGGCTTACATCTCCCCCAAAACAGAGCAGCTGTGTCCAAAGTGGACACTGGATATCACACTCCTGGCATATGATATCTCCCAGAATTTCCCTGGTCCAGAAGTGTAGCAGAAGCACCTCTGGAGATCCTCTAGTCCAACCCCCTTGCTAAAGCAGGTTCACCTAGAGCAGGTTGCACGGGACTGTGTTCAGGCAGATTTTGAATATCTCCAGAGAAAGAGATTCCACATTTCTGGGCAGTCCATGCCAGTGCTCTGCCACCTTCAAAATAAAGTTTTTCCTCATATCCAAATGAACCTCCTTGTGTTTCAGTTCGTGCTTATTGACCCTTGACCTGTCACTGAACATTACTGAAAGAGGTTTGATGCCATCCTTTTGACATCCACCCTCAAGATATTTATATGCTTTGATAAGATCTCCTCTCAGGCCTCTCTTCTCCAGGCTAAACAAGCCCAGCTCCCTCAGCCTGTCCTTTTAAGAGAGATGCTCCAGTCCCTTCATCATTTCTGCAGCCTTCCATTGGACACCCTGCAGGAGCTCCATGTCTCTCATGTTACTGAGGAGCCCAGAACTGACACAGCAGTCTCTAGATGTGGCCTCACTAGGGCTGAGTAGAGGGGCAGTATGCCAGTTACAAAGGTACTACACAGGTGAAGGTAGGGAAAGGGAGGTACACCAAATTCTTTACCAGAAACTGAGAGAAGTAAAGCTGCTGCCACACAGAATTGAGCATCATCTGTAAAATCAGCGCAGGAAAATGCGAAACAGATCTAGCTTTTGTTAAGCTTTATTTGGCTACCCTTACCCAAGCTAACTTGATTCCAGCTATTTATGTGTGCCTACACAAGCTCTAATCATAACTTCAACGCATTATACACAAGTCCTAAAGTAACCGCCACAGAGTTGTCTAACCATCAATCAAGCGCTACGAAGAAAAGAAAATAAGAGAATCCATAAAAAGATGTTTTAGTCTTTCTGCCTCTCAGGGATTCAAGGGTGCATGTGTTTCTCTAATCAATTTGTTTTTAATGAGAAAGCCTTTATCAAAAAGGTGTGTCCTGTGTTTCAGCAAATGCAACGGGCGTGGGTCCAATCCCACTTCCTCTGGCAAAGGGTTTTGGCATCCAAAACCAGGCTGTGCCTGGTGCCTGACAGTCTACACCTAAGTGACTTGAGCTGCCTTTTAGAAAGCAGTTGTCTTGGGTTTTGACAGAAGAAATGTTCACAGGCTGTTAATGGTGACGCAGAGTAACATCTGCTGAAATTAATCGCTGCTGATGCACTGGAGTGCAGTAAGTGTGTGCCATCAGCCACCGCACTGACTACACCACAGCACTCCAGCCTGGGGGTGTAGTCATTCAGGGAACAGAACACGTGAATGCTGGAAGACTACTCATTGACTGGGAAACAATTTCTTTGTTCTTCTACAGGTGCATTGCTATCACAGGAATCAGGTCCTCCCCAACCTGTCAAACGCCTATCACAATATACTTATCATCAGGTCTGTGGATTGCTAGCAGTGTCAAACTGCCAAGTGGGGAGCTTCATATGCCATGCATTTGACTTTGTTGTTCAGCAGATGAAAGCGACGAAATGTGAACTACTCACCAACCACATAATCTCCAAACCCTATAGTGCTGAGGGTAATAAAGGAATAGTAGAAGCCTTCTTCATAAGACCAGCCTTCTTTGTCAGAGAATAACAAGGGAGGTAGCAAGAGGAACAATAACAAGCCAGTTACCAGTGCACAGGTCTTCATCAGGAAAGAAGCTTTATTCTAGAAAAACAGGAAGAAAAAAAGCTTATGAAGGACTCCACAGAAATATACAAACGTTCATTACGTTCCATTATAATAAATAGTGTGGATCTCCCAGTGTGTTGATTTTAGCTGGGATGGTTATTTTCTTCATAGTAGCTAGTCCATACTAGCTGTACTTCAGATTTGTGCTGAAAACAGTATTGATAATACAGGGCTTTTCTTCTTCTCATCCCACCCCACCAGTGAGTAGGATGGGGGGTACACAGGAATCCGGGAGGGGACACAGTCAGGAGAGCTGACCCCAACTGATCAAAGGGATATTCCATACCATATGGCATCACGCTCAGCATACAAAGCTGGGGGAAGAAGGAAGAGCGGGATATTCAGAGTGATGGCATTTGTCTTCCTAAGTTACACATGATGAAGCCCTGCTTTCCTGGGGATGGCTGAACACTTGCCTGCTGATGGAAAGTGGTAAACAAATTCCTGGGTTTGTTTTGCTCTGCTTGCATGCACAGCTTTTGCTTTACCTGTTAAACTGTCTTTATTTGAACCCATGACATTTTTCACTTTTACTCTTCTGATTTTCTTCTCCATCCCACTGAAAGGAATGAGTGAGTGGCTGCATGGTGCTTAGCTGCCAGATGAGATTAAACTTCAACATCCAGTCAACACAAACTGGGCATCACCTTCATGAGTCATGCCAGTTTAAAGCCTATTCCACAAATGTTCCCATATAACTTACTCAGGCAATTCTAACTATGACTGATGATAAACAGACCAGATAGTCTGGGACTGTGCATGGCTCTCATGCTTTAGCACTTCTGTTGCTGTAGGGGAAGTCATTCATCACAGAATTTCCCTCAATTAATAAACAACCTTATCTGACACCTCATAGGGCTGTCACAAACTAAATTTATTTGCTTCCAGTTATTCCTGAATATTACTGCCTTTTTGGCCAAATAGGTAGGCAGGTTGTCCTTGTTAGTCAGAGGATGTCAAATACCAGACAATGTCCTCTGTCTTTGTTTCCTCGAGATATACCCATCCACACTGCTTACCTGCCAATGAAACACCTCCTCTAGGCGATGGGCACAATGCTGAACCCCAAGCAGCATCAGCTGCCCAATTTCATTCAGGAGTATGAGGTTCAAGGGAATTCCAAAAAGGGCAAACACGATGCAGAAGATTCGACCAACTGCAGTGCTGGGGCTCAGGTTCCCATAGCCTAGGCAGGGAAGGAATGAAGCATTAAATCTAAAATATTCTTTGCTTGCCCTCCTCCCCTAGAGGGGTAAACCTCCATCTTCTAAAGAAGTTAGACAAGAACGTCACTGCTCCAAAAGGACCTTTTTTATAAATAACTGTAAGTTACATCCATTGTTTGTCATATCCTATTGTAGGTTGGAAAATAACATTACTTTCCCTGCCAATTTTGTTTAGTTCCTTTTCCATTTACCAGTGAATTTCCTCTCCCTACCCACCGTCCTGGCTGGGATGTGACGTAAATGAAAACCTTCCGTTTAGCTCAATTTTTGTAAGCATTGTTGGCATGGGGTTTGCTGGTAAATGATCCTGCATGGCTGTCAGATGGTCTCTGAATCACAACAATAGTGTTTTAATTATAACAACCACCCTTTTCTACCTTTGTCCCACAGGACTAGTGAACTTCACACTGCCTCTTTGCTTATACTCCTCATTTGCACCAAATACACCTTAAATTATCAAAATAATTGTCCAGAGTCTAATAAAGGTCCTGCCTTGCAAGCATGGCCTTGCTTGTATCCTCAGACCATTATGCCTTCAAAATCACTGCTGCAGTATTTGTCTTTGTTCCCCACACTTACTTTTTAAAATGTCCTGTAAATTTACAGACTCACACTTCTTCAGTTTCAAGTGTTTTATGCCACAGAAAAGTCAGATTTACCTGTGGTTTATTTCACAGGATGCTTTCTAAGACAGGGGAAGAAACAGCACATCACAAGCATTTCAACTGTGATTTAGCCAGTCAGAGACCTGTGGCCTTGACTTCATTTCAAAATCACCTCTGCTCATTAGAGATTGGTGCACGTCCACATGCAAGATTATCTTTTCACCACAAATAATGATATCCCCTCCTGGTGACACCCAAGGTTAGCACAGCCCCAAGCACAGGTGCCTTCCTATCTGCATTTAGGTGGTGTAGCCCCAGGGCAAGTGAGCAGTGCCCAGAAGGGAGAGGTCCCAGGGCTGGGCTCTGTACCCCAGATAAGTGAGAGCACAAACATCTGTGGTTAATCAGATAGAGTCCCATTCCTTCACTAAACTCTGTCACATGCCAGCTGCAATAAGCCACTGACCAACAATGTAGAAATGCATGCAACTGTGAGCTGGGGATATCTACATGTCCTGTGCCATGTTTTGTGCTAACAAAAGTCTCTCGCCGTGAACAACTCTGCAGTTAATTGTGCATGTGCCCCAGCAAACTAAACCCAGAAAAAGGTCTGGGGCAAACTATTTCCAAGTATGCACCTGCACAAATTCAAAGTTTTACTATAGGGGGGACCTCCCCTCCAACAATTTTAGACTTGAATGATTTGTGAGCCCCTGAGTCTAACATATATGATAGCACATAATATAGCTCCAAAGCAGCCCCCTAGCAGCCTCTCCCTGGGAGAGGGCAGAGCATCCCTCAGAAAGAAGGGGATGCTGTTATATAACTAGAGATTATTTAACAATACAGTCAAACAAAGGGGTTAAATTAGGACTTCATTCCAGTGCTATGTTCGGCTTTATAATGTTTACACATCTTTCCCCACATGTAATTATTGATTTCTGTCAGCTTTCACCATTTCTAGACTAACAGGTGCGGTAAATGAGACATGCAGGCAAGTACGTCCAGTAGATGATCCCACCTAAATGAATTAAAGGGAGATGTGGCTGGTGTGATGCATTTCACACTGGCTATGCCACTGTCAGTGGATTAATTCCCATTTTTCCCTTTTGTGGACTCATCTGGCCCCAGTAGAAAGTGCTGGGGGGGGATGTCATTTACTGTAAGGTTGGAGTCTGAACATTATTTACATACATTTACGGCCAGCAATTCCCAAGGTGGTTTCCCCCATTCTCTTTGCCCCTCTTTTCCTTCTAGATTAAGTTTTAAAAGACTGTGTAATGTCTTGGGCAGTTCTTTTTACCACAGCTTTCCAAGTTATTCAGTCTCTGGAGAAAATCAACAGATAAAAGAAGAAAGGCCTGTGACCTCAGATCACCATGTGAAGCACAGCAGCCTCCAGAATTTTGGGGATGCCACATAGTGCTGACTGGAGAGCATTTAAGGTTAAACTGTACATTACAATTTAGAGTGGCAAATTCAATATGTGTATATTGAATGTGTATATGAATATGTACATATGTATATATGCACATTTAGAGTGGCAAATTTAATAATGTAAGAAGGTCTAATGTGCACAGTAAGCCCAGCACTCAAAACACCAGACCTGCTTTGCATTTGATTTCTCTGGTTCCCTTTTCCCTCGGGCTCAGCAGCTCAAGACAATTTTCTAAAGACTTGATGAGCAGCTGCTGTACATACGCCAAAAAGCCACAGTCCTGTTAGCTTTTTATACAGGATACAAAATTTAATCAAACAGCACAGGAGACTTCAGATTATGCAAAATGTCCAGAAATTTATTCCTGGCTGATGACATCCACTTGCCTTTGCATTAGACAAATAGATGCCAACCTAGTTGTCTATAAACCTCAACTGTTATGCAATTCAAGCAGGAATAGGTAAATATGACATATCCTCTTCAGTAAATGGAATTAGGGTAATTGGTGTCTTATACCATTGTGAGCTATACATTAGAAGATCTGAACCAAACTCAGAGACTAAAACTACCCTGGCAGTTGTGTCACATCCCTCATGAGTCTGCTGCTGGGATGTCACCTAGTACCTGCCTGATCCAAGAGACACCAAAGGATGGTCACTAAAAACTGCACAGACATCAAAATATGTTTTCACTGAAGCTTGATTAAGTGCATGTACAGCACTCTCATTTTGAAATAAAGTGTAAAGTAAGTTAAGCTTCTTTACAAGAAGCAAAATAAGAGTAGTTTTGTTTCTAAATGTTCATATCCATGTGCTTTAACTTATGTGCTTCTTTTATATATATTAAGTAATTCAGGATTTTTTCCCTGCTTTCCCATTACAGTCCCTTACATATGGGCTTTGGAAGTTCTGTGGACTTGTAAAGAAGATGAGATTTGTTAGTAAAAGATCTTTTCATTCACAGGACAACATCCTATTTGCAGTATTCTCAGTTCAACTGAGGCAACTGCAACTTCCTGCTACCCACAGTGAGAGATTTGTTTAGCTCCCGTTCTCACTGCCCAGATGTAAAAGAGTAGTTTCAGCAAAAAGTGATTAAAACAAAAACTAAGTGTCTTTCACAGGCTGAAAATCATCTGCAAACTTACAAAAATATTTAATCTGTGGAAAAAACCCAGTGGACAAAAAAAACCAACAAAAAACCAAACAACAAACAAAAACCACACAAACCAGGAGGAAGAGTTGCTTCCCTCACCTGTAACTTTATCAGTGGTTTAGCATTCAAACACATTTTTGGGGGAGATTTGGTTTAATTCTTTCTCCTACTTGAGAGTATACAAGCCATCACTTCCTACAGGAATGACCTAATGCCAAATTTACAGAGTGCTCTCGTTGATAGTATTTTGCTTTGAACACCCAGACACTCACCTAAGTCTAGGAGGCAGGTGGCTCAGGGTCACTGAACAGTTCAATGAGGGGTGTCAGTCCCAGAATTACTTTATTTTGCATTAGACATTTAAATACTCAAAAATGCTCCACTTGGCATTTGGGGTGATCTCCAGTGAGTCACATTCCTCTTATTCCAGGCACTGGAGGAAGTTATACCCTCAAACTACCTAGCTCCTTCCACCATCAGCTCCTCCTCTAATATTTTTCAGAAAATCTAAACTTTTCTTTCCCTTGCGATCTCTTACAAGTAACCTGAATGTTTTAATCTGGGATAAATGAAAGGTTAAGCTCATGAAAAATTCAGATGTTTTATTGAGAAAAAGAATATGCAAATTCACTTTAGACAGAAAATATGTCTTCATATAATTCAAAGTGGAAAAATACAGAAATAAACCTACTGATCACTCACACAGCCTTTCATGTTTGTCTGATTCCTGAAAATGTGAGCATGGGCCCAGTTCAGCTGGAAGGTGCCCTTGATAAAGCCCTCATTACCCTGGTCTGATCTCACAGTTGACTGCTTTAAGAACACAGTTGCACTAGAGACCTGAGGTACTAGGAAGACTGAATTATCTTATGATCTTACAAGCATTAAGGTTTTCAGAGATCATTTGGTACGATCTACACTCAACTGAAGATCAGCAAGTCAGGGCTTCCTGTTCTCCCTCATAATTTGATTGCCTCCATGAGAATAACTACATAAACCAAATAAACATATTTGGCTTCTCAAGCTTCTTGTGAGATTTTGTATTACACCCATCAAGTCTGCTTCAAGTTCAGGAACACTTGTCAGCTGGACACAGCCACTGAGCTCAGGACACCTGACATGGGAAATCAGTTATTTCCCATTCATCCACCCATGGAGGATGACCTTCCTAAGGCCTCCCTAGTAATCTAGTGATTACTAGAGATGGAAAGAACAGGAAGAAGGTCTTTCCCTTCCTTTCCACATGGTGAGATGGCCTATTTTATATTTAAAAAAGAGCCTTTGAAACTCCTACAAATGAATCCTTTGCTGTGCAGCAGAAAATGGTAAGGCAGCACTAGGCAAAGGCATCCACCCACCCAATATCAAGGGGGACGTTCAGGTTAGAGAGGACACTACTCTCCCATCTACTCTTAGACAGACAACTGCAGCCTCAACACAAAGCCCTTCCTTAGCACTTTCTCTGAAATTACACCACCCAGAAGTCATTTGACTTTGGGAATTTTCATCTTGTGCCCAACTCTCAGCTTGCTTTGACCTCTGCCCTGTTAGTCCAAACTAACTAGGAGGAAAGTAAACAAAGAAAGGAGAGACTGTGTCGGCAAGGGATAAAGAAGTCTGAGAGATAAAACCAGCTTCTCTTTCTTTAATCATGTTTAGTACTACATCTCTAAAGGAACTCTGAAGATGACCCTTCAAGGCATTGGAGAGAGGGTTCCTATGGAAAAAATCTGCAGAAAATAAGATAACAAAAAAACTGAGATGACATTACATGTCAAAGACAGCAATGAAGAAAGCACAGAAGCATAACAGCGGAGAAAAGGAATCAGATGGCCAGGGCTGTCCATCCCACATGATCGAAAGTTATAAATGCAGTAAATTCAATTCCCAAGACTGGCCAAAAACTACATAGGCTTTGGGGTACTTTAAACAACAGGTTTTAGTTCATACACATCTCTTCTTTAAACCTTTGGGATTAGGGTACCATGTATGCCCAGCCTGCAGGTTAGAACTTGCTTTTTTTTTTAAGCAAAATTTGTGTGCTGCTTTTAATTACTAGTGGAAATAGATGAGGTTCTCATTTAAATGGAAGAAGGGTACAGCACAGAAGATGCTGCAAAAGGAGACATGGAGAGTCAAATCTTGCCAGTGGGGAAAGAAGCTAATGCTCCTCAGTTAGTCTGAATGAGGAAAGAAGATAACACCCTTCCCATATCCCAGTGAGAAAGTATTCTGGAAAGGACTTGAGAAACACACCAAGACTTCTGAGGGGGGTTGAAGTACCTAAAGCAGAACACAGTTGACAGAATGGAAATAGTATCTCAAAGGAAAGTGATGAAGGTGAAAGTGATAGTGTCTTTGGTAGCACTGTTTGAGAAGAGGAAGGAAAAATGTCACAAAGACATTATGTAGCATAAGAGGCCAGCAAGACACAAATTGCATTAGTTGCAGAGAAAGAATATGGAAGAGACAAACAGGCCAAAGAAGGACTTGCAGCAGCTGGAACACATGGAATATGAGTCCACCCAGATTCTTCAGAATCTTTATATAGTAACCCTAAATTCCTGGGAATCTCTCTTTCTCCATTATCATCTTAACTCCACCCTTTGTGAACTCCTTTGCCAGAATGCCTTGGGCTTTAACTCCTACACGTTGATCTTGTGAAGCTGGATCTGCTTTCCCTGGTTCCCTAATCACAGCCTAGGACAGGCGCTTACGTGGCAAGGAAGGACACTAAAACCTCAACAAATCATCAGGAAACGTTCACAACTGTCATTTACCCCACTGCCATGCCTTATAAATGAAGTTTCCTCTTGTGACTCACTCCTGTGAACTTCATTGAGTTCTTTAGAAAGGAGTTTGACTCTTTGCTTGACATCAGTTGTCTTTCCCAGTGACACAGAAGTGACTTGTATGGCATTCTCAACTCCACAACTGAAAAATCATGAACAAGTCCCTAGAGTCACAGCATCAGCTTTAAAATTCTGAGATAGAGAGCTGTAATATTTGATTCTTTTCAACTGCTTCTGCTGTCCTGTCCCATCCTTCCTCCTCTAGCCATCAGTGCAATGAGTTTACTTAAAGAAAGAGGGGAAAAAAAAAAAGAAAAAAATAGTGTAGCTTAGCAGCCAGAAATGCTTAGGCTAGATCTCTGCCAACATCACAAATTCCCCTTATATTTTAACATGATAAATTTGATTCTTCCTGAATATCATTAACTTAAATTGGTTGTGTTAAAACAGTCACTCTGATGACTTATAAACTGATCAGGATTCAGTACTAAAGCAAGCAAAGCAGCTCTGAGCAGATGCTGCTTTGCACCTAAGGCTGGAAGAAACGGCCCAGGCTCTGCACTGAACACCCACTGTCTAGTGAGCCTCCACTGCCATCATCTGGCACAACCCGTGTGTGGTAGCACAGCACCTTAGAAGTGTATTCCCAAACAGAACAATGCATGTGCAAAAGAGCTGGGCAGAAGGATGTACCGAGTCATGGGAAGATGACACCACACCACCAACCACTCACTCCCACCCCCGCAAAAAACCCACAAACCCTCTCCTTCTTTGAGCTCAGGTGTGGGGGCTTAGTGTTCTAGAGACAACGGAACAACCAGAAATCAAAAGAATGTGCCATTTAGGTGCAAAAAGAAAATACATGATTTGAAAATATATTTGCAATTGAAGGGAGCTGGCAAATTCAAGACAAATTAGTAAACCTATGATGGATTTTTGATATTCAACAACCATCTCTCCACATACTCTCCCCTGGTTTTTTATAATACTGGGTCACACCATAAAAAAAAGACATAAAGGCAAGTTATGAATGGTTTTTGGGGACTGGGAACATGAAACGACAACAATTAATAGCATCTGTCTTAATTAACTCTGTACCCAGTACATTTTATTGTTTCCATTTTCTCCGCTCTACTTATTTCCATCGTTCCTTCATGGCTTTGCATTAGTTGTTTGCTGAAACCTGAGTCAACTGAATTGTGATGTTTATCCAGCTATTTAACTTTCACTTGAACAAGCAGGTCCTCATCCAACACAGATAGCAATAAGAAGGAATTAATTAATAAATATAGCCTCTGAAGATGCAGCAGCCAGTATTAAGAGTGTTTCAAAATCATTCCTTTCCTTGTGATAGGAAAAGCCCATTTCAATGCACAATTCACCTCACACCTCTCAGAGCCCACTAGGCTTGGGGAAGTACAGGGGCACTGCAGCACCAAGAAGTTCAGGCCCCAAAAAGCTCTGTAACTTAGTAGGAATATGGACTGAGCTAACTATCCCTACATATAATCAGTAAGAGACCATTACTGTGCTGGCACTGACAAAGCACTTCTAGGGCTAGGTTCATGGGTGCTTATCTGCTGCATAATATAGACAAGCTACAGGAAGACCCACAGTTCTGGAGCAGCATCTGCCCTCATTCCCACTCTTTTCCTACCTTTGAGGTGTCCCTGAAAATAGGGAACTCTTACCAATGGTTGTTATTGCAGAGATGGAGAAGAAGAAAGACCCACTGTAGTCCCACCTGCCCAGGCTAGTGGTGTTTCCCTGGAGGGTTATGCCACTCTTGTAGGCTTGGATGATACCCTGCAAAGAGACAATAACGTGAGATCCCACAAACCCCCTTATGGCAAGTATATGTGACTGGCATTTCTACTTCTGGTTGGTAAGGTCACAAACTACAACTACTTCCGACTCTGTTGTTTCCCTTTTAATAGAGGATATCCTGTGCCTTAGAGACCAAGCAGCTCCAAGGTCACAAAAGCCAAAGGCAGCATATTGCTTCTAAGAAAAGGACATAGGTTAGCATTATGGTTGATTCTCTTCAATTTACCTGGGAAAGACTTAGAAGTCACTATGCTGAAGCCTGCAGAATTACACTAAAATAAGATATCAGATGCCTTAATAGTGCCCCCCTCTGACTGTGCCTTCTCATGCCAATAAAATTAATGACAGTCATGTCCAAAACATCAATCACAGCACATACACTAAACATTTCACACTCACTAATCGAGAATCCCTGACAGTTAATTACCCTTGAATGCAAAGTGTAGCCAAGAATACATAAATTTCATCATTTCTGAGAATGATATGCAGATACTGAATAATACCATCACTATCTGAACAAAAAGACTGCTGATAAAGCTTTCACCATTGATAATAAAAGGAATCACTCTCAGGCTAGATTTTGATCAATTGTGGGCTTTACAAAGAAGTTGTAGCTTATGCATCCATCAAGCAAACAGGCACTTCAAGCCTGCAAAGCAAGGAAGCTTTGCCCCATTTTACTGATGCAACACGCTCTGTGTGAATTGGAAACTGTTTCCAGAGTTCCAAGCAGTAGCTTAACTACATGGACCATTATCTCTTTTCTCTAAGCCACTAGTTCTCAAACTAAGAGCAAGGAGCAGCTCAAAGATCAACACATTTTCCCAAGCAACAAACGCTGCTTGACAGTTGCATTCTCAAAAGTATCTTCATGTATTCATAACTGAAGGGAGTCTAAACAATTCAGGGTCACATTATAATCTATTGAATCTGACAACATGCTCTTCTCTTCACAAGACAGAGCAGAGAGAGCCCGTGCTCCAAAAAGAGCTAAGGATCACATGCTATATTACATTTTGCTTCCTTCAGTAAATTGTTGCCATAACTTTAGTGGGGCACCTCAAGGAAAGAATTTTTATACAGCGTGACGTAAAAGAACCAAACCCTGCTTCCCCCTCCTTGCCAAAAGAAAGAAAAAAAGAGCAAAAATATTGTACTAAGAAGTCTCCACCAGGATTTGTCTTGAATAGCTGTGTGTAATTCTTCCACTCGTCATTCTTCTTCCAGGTCTGCTGTCTGCACTGAGGTTTGTCAGATTGCATAGGGTGCAGGCTCTGATATTTCTTTGTTGCTGATCTCTGACAATACTTAACCTCTGGTTTAAGAAGTATAAGAAATTCTGGAGACAGTGGCCTAGTCAGGAATCACAGTTCCCATGAATATAAAATAACTCCCAAGCTAAGCCGTACAGCAAGGGAGACAATGGAAATTTATACAGATGACCTGTATTTCTTTTCCCTCCAGAAACTAGTGGTTAAATTTGAAATCAAAAGCTTGTTATTTTCCTCAAACTTTCTTTCTGTAAATTGCGATCTCTGCAGTTTTAAGCAGTTAGTCTTGAACACATATATACCTGCTGGAACAGCAACAGTCCAGCTTGATCAGATAGACTCAAAAATCCTAAATATGCAGCATGTTTGTTGTCCATTCTCCTGCCTGACCTCCTGCTGATAAAACCTTAGCATTTGACAACATTACACACAACATCAAGTCTTTAAAGTCAGAAGCACTTAAGAACTACACAGGACTGCAAGAACGCGTGGCTTAATTGGCCCCAGGAAATGGAAAATTCTTCATGCAGAAAGGGGAAACAAAAAGCCTACATGAGACATCATGTGAGAAGCAAGCAGCAGTAATGAAGTCATTAAACACTTAATGTCACATCCTTGCACCACTTCCACTCTGCACACTTTAGAACAAAGAGGTTGAGCAGTTGTGAGCACCCACGACAGCTCTGCAGTGACTTCCAACAACTCAGCATCCCAGAGCCACTGTCTTAACTTTCCCCAAGGTGATGCTACTGCCAGGAAGCATAGCATGTGTCTTCAGAGTCTGCAGACAGGCTACAGTATTTGCCCCAAAATGGCACAACGACCTGCACTACTCTCACGGGGAAGGAAGGTACCACATAACCATTACTCACTGGCAAAGAGCCACTGAGCCTGCAGCGTGTCAGCTGTTTTCTGTGTCTGGTATTGAGGAATATGGTATGTTTGCTGCAGGTTTTCAAGACAGTAAGCTTCTGGCTACCCAATTCTTTGTTAAATCTTGTTATCAAACATCCAGATAACATCATTAACCATTAGGTTCACTGCCCTGTGGAAGCCAGCCCAACATGGGGACCACTGAATACTCATGCAAATCAAAGCTCTTGAATAAATTAACATTCCCAGAAGAAATGTCAAATTCATTATTGTTAGGAAGAAAGAGCTACTGAGGTCATCCTTAAAGGGGAAGATTCACAGTATGTAGGGTTAAGGATACCAGCTTTTGTTTTTTCAAAGTAAAAAATGTTTTATTATACTAACTAGAATTAACCTTTGACACACAGTAACAATTATGACAGAAAATTAAAGATTGACTCTTCTGAGAATGGTAGAACTAATGGAGCTTGCCTTCCTGCAGATGTGCCCATGGAGGCAGATTCATGAAACAGAAATCCATAGATAGCTATTAATGCACAGAAATTACTTCTGGCACAGGAAGTAATTGAACTGCAAACTCCTGAAGGCTGAGTGAGCATCTAGAAAGATATCAGTGAATATTCTCCCTAAATTAATATGTTCTTTTAGACTTCTGCTTTTGGCTATTGCTCTTTTTCATAGAAAAATTAAGAGCAGTTTATAATTTTAGAAAGAATACAGGAAAAAAAAAACCAGCTAATAAACACTCTAACAGAACAGCTAAATTCTCCCTGCTTTTTCCATTGAAGAGGCACTGATACATCTCTGCCACTAATTTTCAAATAAACTCGGGTTTATCGGCCTGTGAGTTCCAGATGTACTAAAAAGAAAGTGAATCATACATGTTGGGTCATAACTTGGTTTCTTTTGCCTGCCTTTTTGAGAACCAGACATTTTGTTTTGCTTTACACGCATTCTGGAGGTGAAATCCTAGGGGTCTTCCTTTTTCTCTTAATTAGGCAAGTAATTCATACAGCATCTGCCTCAAAACCTAATGCATTAAAGGTCACCCATCAGAAGCAGCATTATAAATTCAGTGTTCAAAAGCAGGTATCTGCCTGGTCTAAGACCCCAGTCAATACCACCAACTGCTCCATTTCAGTATTTGTTGTGTTTGAAGAGCACGGGCCTGATATTTTGGGAACTTCAAAGGTCATATGCAACTCAAAGAAGAACAGAAAGGAAGCGGGTGGTGGTTAAAATAATCAGAAAGAAACAGAACTCAGTGGTTCCTTGGTTTCTACTGACAGACAAGCTGTACAACATAAAACCACAATTTCACTTCTCTGCACTTATTTCCCCCCCTCTCTAAAATGATAATAATTTGCAGTTCACAGCAACTACTTCATCTGTAGCTCACAACGCTTATATAGTTTTAAGCTACAGAAAAAAGTTTCTATGGGTATTATTGTAACTGCTATAGGGCTAATAAATTGAGATATTTTAGATTTTTAGTCTTCATGAATCAATGAAACTTCATTTGCAGACTGTCACATTTTCTCAAGTAGGCTGTTCTGTTCCTTGTCCATGCAAGTAGGCTTTGCATGGTGCTATCTAATATTGTCATAGCTGGTGCTTACAACACCAGCATGATATCCATTTGAAGCAGTCTATTTAAATGTAACATCTGTCCTGTTGCCTGTGGGATAAAACATGCCCCAGTATACCCAAACTGGGAGTCCAGCTCCATTTTGCTCAACCACAAACTCTGAAGTTTCAGTTCGGAATGTCATAAACTAATGATTGCAAATGCAGGCTTTATGTTAGATCATTATATCTCAGTACAAATCAAAGCCTTGTTTTGTGCATATTTCTGCAGGGAATTCCCTCCTTGAATTCAAGCTCAGTGGTAGCTCCACAAGGAAGCCGTGGATTTCTGCTGACTCCCTTGTTGAACTTATTTTAGGATGGCAATACCCCTTTTTTCCTTCTATTTTACTATTAATTAGAATAATCATTGCTGATTCTTCCTGCAGGACCATCCAAATACAACATTATACTGATTTCCTTATTTGAGTAAACAAAATAACTTAAAAAAATTAAATCACTCTTAAAGACTGACTTCCTTTTAGCCCTTCATATCTCTTGTGGCTGCACTTCCACGAATTACTGTTAAGGAGTACTTCATCCAGCCTGGAGAAGTCTTATCAAGCTACACAGCTTTGTAGCAACAAATCCAACACAGTTACAGTCATACTAGAAAAAAATCAAATCACAGAAAGTAATTACACACAAGAGCTCTTTTGTTTATTTTGTCTAGCTAAAAAAAAATAAATCCAAAACAAAACAAAAGAAACCCCAAAAAAGTGAGGTGGCTGGTTCTACCAGGACATCTGCTTAAGTATCCAGAAGTTTTCTACAGGCTCAGCCTACAGAGTTTGGTTCCCTCTTCACATTTGAGTGTAACATCATTTTCCCCTGCAAAATGTAGGTTTATTCTCTATTTGCTGCAGAGCTGCTCTATCCTTCAGCCCTACTCATAAGTCTCTTTTATCATGTTTGCTGTGTTATGAGTTCTGGGCAACTCCCAGATTTTCCAGCTTACACACTTCCTCTCTTCCAAGATCCTCATCACATGTGGGCTCCTCCACCACCAGCCTGGGGCTGCAGCACGACTTCTGATCACCAAGTACTGCAAAAGGCAGAACTATTATTTAATCTGACCTCCTTAACACCAACTAGAAAATTAATCTTTCTCCTCTGCACTCACAACTGCATGTGACTAGGATACAGTTTACAAAAAAAGCATTTAAGATCAGGAATAAAGAATGAATTCCTGTGTATATGTAAACTGTG